ACGCTGCTAGACATCAATGTTTTTCAAACCGAAACAACTCTTCCCTAAGGCGTGTTTGAGTGAGCCAAATTGGAGGAAGAGCCAATGCACTAAAAAATATCCCCCAAATACTGCAAAGAACACAAAACCCACAAAACCCAAAACCACACACACACACACACACACACTAATTGGGACATCCAGACAGGCACATCAAAGCGCTCTCAAAGAGTCGAGCCGGTGAAGAATGCACATGGTTCCAGAAACATCTCTAAGGCTATATTTAACATTTACTTCTACATCTATTTTTTATGAGTCTCTCATTCTAGGATGTGCCCTAAAGCGCCAGGAAGAAATGTTGTGAGAGTCATTGCTGTAGAGAGAGAGAAGAGAGAGAGGAGGAGGATCAGAGAGAGATGAAAGTTAAATAAAAAAGGGAACGAGCATGGAGTGAGAAGAGAGGAAAAACCCAAGGGAAAAGTAGAGAGAGAGATCTTGGACCTAGAAACGTAATGTTCTTATTTCCATTGTCTTACCCACTCTAGGAACTCCTTCACAAACCTTTTATCTTAGACCAAGAAACAAGCCCAGATCTCAGAAAGGGAACCTAGCGGACAGTCAATGACGTTAGTAAACAGACTGACATCATAAAACCTACGGTAGAGTTGAAGTTCAATCACTCCAAAATGCAGACACAGTAACACATTTTTACCCTGCAAAAGGGTGCTGTACCACCCCCCACGGTAAACAAACACATACTGTAAATTACACACACTCCACACCAACACCCATCCAAACCACACAAACTAGCCACAACCACTTTCCCACACCACAAAGAAACCCAAAACCCACATCCAACCCCTACACCAACCCCCTTCCACCCACCACCCCCAAAATCCCCAACTCAACCCCACATCCACACCACACCATCCCACCACACACATCCAACCACCCATCCACACACTCCACACCCCACACACCACCCCCCCTTCCCACCCCCAAACCCTTCCCCAACCCTTTCCCCACCACTCCCAAACCCCCCCCACCAACATCCACACCAACAAAAAACCCCAAAACCACCTCCACCCCCCACCCCCCCAACCACGCACCCTCCACAACCCACACAATCCCCCACCAACCCCCTCCCCACACCCCCCACACCCCCCCCCCATCCACCCCCCCACCTTTCCAAAACCCCCAAAACACCCCCCCAACACCCCCTCCCCCCAACACTCCAACCAAACATCCCCCCCACCCCCCACCCCCCACCCCCACCAAAAAAACCCCAACCGCTCCCCCCCACCACATCCCCCCCACCCCCCATCCCCCACACACACCCCCCCACCCCCCCCTCCCCCCCCCCACTCCCCCCCCCCCCCCAAACCCCCCTCCCCCCCCCAACACCCTTCCCCCCCCCACCTCCCCCCCCCCCTGCCCCACCACCCCCCTCCCCCAAAAAAAAACAACCCCCACACCCCGCCCCCAAACCAACCACACAAACCACTCCCACCCAAAACCCACCACCCCCCACCTCCCCAACACCCGAACACCTCCACGCCACCCACCCACCACACACCCACTCCACCGTCCACAACCACATACCCCCCCCCCCCCTCCCACACCCACCCCACACCCCTCCACACCATCATCCCCCATCACCACCACCACACCCACACCCAACCACCCACCCACCCCACACAACAACCAATCCACCCCCCTCCCAACCACCACACCATACACCCACAACATACACCAACACAACTACCACCACCCACACACCAAACATCACAACCAAACCACAGACCACACCCAAACCCCCACACACACTCATCCACACCATCACACATCCACACCAACACACATCCACACCAACACACATCCACAACCATACACATCCACACCAACACACATCCACACCAACACACATACACACCAACACACATACACACCAACACACATACACACCAACACACATCCACACCAACACACATCCACACCAACACACATCCACACCAACACACATATACATCAAATCAGGACTTCTATGAAAAAGGAAAATGTGAAAGAAGACAACAACCTTCCAGTGCGAAGCGAAAGAGGTCAGGGCTGGGGTCGAAGGTCAGGCTGCACCTCCCCTCCTCCCCTCCTCTCTCTTTCTCCACCCGGGTCGCCAGCATACGGCAGAAATCCCTCGCTACCTCGTCTAGGAGCGGCAGGAAGCGACGTACAGCAGGAGCCATCATCACCTCCCTGTTGAGCAGGAGACGGTCGGAACGCCACTCTGCCCCATTCCTGGTGGTAGAGAGGAGGACCACCATCAAATTACTGACAATATTCCCACCCTCCATACACTCTGACAAACTCTCTCTCTCTCTCCTCTCTCCTCTCCTCTCTCTCTCTCTCTCCTCTCTCTCTCTCCTCTCTCTCTCTCTCTCTCTCTCCTCTCTATCTCTCTCTCTCACACACACACAGGTATGTACTTGAGGAAGACTCCCTTGCTGTGCTGCTGTGTCTCTCTGTGTGTGGCCCATGGCTGCAGGGTCATGCGTCTGGGGTGAAGGCCCTCAGAGCGGAACAGCTCGCTGATGTCAGACGGCAGCAGGATATTCACAGTGCTCTGGGTGCCCAGACGCTCCCTGGTGGAGACACACCAGACACAGTACATGAAACATGACAGCACACACACACACACACACACAAACACACACAAACACACCCTAGCACAAGAACCTGTAGATGAACAATGATGCAAGTCAGAATTCGACATCCATCCATGTCTGAGGACGTCAGGAGATGATGTGGAAACTGGACACCAGGGGCAACAGTGAGCGCTGTTAGCTTCAAGTAGGTTTCCATTTTATTAGGTAGTTGTGGATGAGGATGGTGGATGGGTGTAAGCATCTGCCTTTTGATTCCAAAGGTTGCAGGTTCAAATCCAGCAATAGAAAGTTGTTTTTGATATTTTTGTTTTAAGCCTATCCCAAACCTTAACCCTTACCTTAACCATTTGGAGTTCATGCCCAACCTTAAGAATGTGGAGTTAATGTCTGAACTTAACCCTAACCTTAAAAATGTGGAGTTAATGCCTTAACTTAACCTTAAAAACGTAGACATTTTATGTTTGGAACAACTTTGAAATTTGATGTTTGAGAAACATGGATGAACATCTAATTCTGATGTGAGACTGTGAGAGCTGGTAGGACTCCACACACACGTTCATACAAACACACCCACGCACGCACACGCACACACACAGGTACCTGTAAATGGGTCCGAGGGTGTTAAATGTCCTCTCCATGTGTTTGTGTAATAGTTTGAATCTATCTTCTCTCCAGAACTTCACCAGGTTGAGCCAGCCACTGCTGCCCGTGTGGGATCTCCTCAAACCGCCTCACCCCTCCACCTACACCCCTCCCCGCAGGACCCCCTCTGGCTGGGGTTACCCCCTCCACACCGTGCCCTGCCATTGTCCCCGCCGGACACACACACATCCCCCTCTGAATCCTCGCACACGCTGATGGACGCACGGACACACACATCCCCTGTATCCCCTCGAACGCGGATGGACGCATAGATACACTCCACATGGTCTGAGGTAGAGATGACACTCTCAGACTCTCCACACCGCTCCGCTACTCTCCATTCTCTACAACGCAAATTAGGTTTTTTCTTCTCAATTATTGCTCCATCCTTCCATCCCGTCCCTCCTTTCCTCTCCTCCTTCCCCTGTTGTCATAGAGCTGATAGAGGTGATGATTTATGTCTTAGAAGGTCAAAGTTCAAGAGAAACACAACACAACCCAAAAGTCAGGATGGCATAGGATGAACACACACAGATAGTCACGCACAGTAACGCACACACACACACACTCACACACACACATAGTCACACACCACACACATCTCTATAGTACGTCAGTACCAAACTAGTCTTTATTAACAGTTTGTACGTAAAAACATAATAAGGACAGCGTTTGACTTATACACCACAAAAGTCAAAGGCTGTGTACAAAACAAAGAGTAACAAGACAAATATTTGGGAACTAGGAACTGAAAACTGAAGTAAATGTGAATATGACACTTAAGGTTATTATCTTGTTAGGGTTCCTTCCCTGTGTGTGGGCCCCAAATGGGCCTAATGATCTGAAACAGGTCCAATCCAGTTTCATCCAGTTAGTTCCTGTATGGTCCAGTCCAGTTCTATGCAAATAGTAACAGTGACAGCCATGTCCTACTATCAGTGACACAGAGATGACGTCATTCATGACATCATTTCCCCTGACGAGTCATCCTCACAGCCTGGCTCTATTGTCAACAGTCCTGAATCCGCAGATAACTCGTTAGGAGAGAGAGAGATAGAGAGAGAGTAGAGAGAGATAGAGATATTACGAGAGATAGAGAGAGAGATAAAGATAGATGAGATATCGTATATATAGATATATTGGGTCTCTCTCGCTCGCTCTCTTTTTATCTCTCTTCTCCTCTCTCTCTCTCTATAGCATCTCTATATCTATATATATATTACAAATAAAAACAAATCCTAATTTTTATACACTCCTCTGTTCTATTGTTTGAAAATATCACAATTTTTCCACCATCACAGCAGCAAGCTTTGTGACCTGTTGCCACAAGAAAAGGGCAACCAGTGAAGAACAAACACCATTGTAAATACAACCCATATTTATATTGATTTATTCTCCTTTTTGTACTTTAACTATATGCACATCATTTTCATCATAGGTACACGTCAACTATGACAGACAAAATGAGAAAAAAAAATCCAAAAAATCACATTGTAGGATTTTTAATGAATTTATTAGCAAATTATGGTGGAAAATAAGTATTTGTTCAATAACAAAAGTTTCTCAATACTTTGCTATATACCCTTTGTTGGCAATGACACAGGTCAAACGTTTTCTGTAAGTCTTCACAAGGTTTTCACACACTGTTGCTGGTATTTTGGCCCATTCCTCCATGCAGATCTCCTCTAGAGCAGTGATGTTTTGGGGCTGTCGCTGGGCAACACAGACTTTTAACTCCCTCCAAAGATGTTCTATTGGGTTGAGATCTGGAGACTGGCTAGGCCACTCTAGGACCTTGAAATGCTTCTTACGAAGCCACTCCTTCGTTGCCCGGGCGGTGTGTTTGGGATCATTGTCATGCTGAAAGACCCAGCCACGTTTCATCTTCAATGCCCTTGCTGATGGAAGGAGGTTTTCACTCAAAATCTCACGATACATGGCCCCATTCATTCTTTCCTTTACACGGATCAGTCGCCCTGGTCCGTTTGCAGAAAAACAGCCCCAAAGCATGATGTTTCCACCCCCATGCTTCACAGTAGGTATGGTGTTCTTTGGATGCAACTCAGCATTCTTTGTCCTCCAAACACGACGAGTTGAGTTTTTACCAAAAAGTTATATTTTGGTTTCATCTGACCATATGACATTCTCCCAATCCTCTTCTGGATCATCCAAATGCACTCTAGCAAACTTCAGACGGGCCTGGACATGTACTGGCTTAAGCAGGGGGACACGTCTGGCACTGCAGGATTTGAGTCCCTGGCGGCGTAGTGTGTTACTGATGGTAGGCTTTGTTACTTTGGTCCCAGCTCTCTGCAGGTCATTCACTAGGTCCCCCCGTGTGGTTCTGGGATTTTTGCTCACCGTTCTTGTGATAATTTTGACCCCACGGGGTGAGATCTTGCGTGGAGCCCCAGATCGAGGGAGATTATCAGTGGTCTTGTATGTCTTCCATTTCCTAATAATTGCTCCCACAGTTGATTTCTTCAAACCAAGCTGCTTACCTGTTGCAGATTCAGTCTTCCCAGCCTGGTGCAGGTCTACAATTTTGTTTCTGGTGTCCTTTGACAGCTCTTTGGTCTTGGCCATAGTGGAGTTTGGAGTGTGACTGTTTGAGATTGTGGACAGGTGTCTTTTATACTGATAACAAGTTCAAACAGGTGCCATTAATACAGGTAACGAGTGGAGGACAGAGGAGCCTCTTAAAGAAGAAGTTACAAGTCTGTGAGAGCCAGAAATCTTGCTTGTTTGTAGGTGACCAAATACTTATTTTCCACCATAATTTGCAAATAAATTCATTAAAAATCCTACAATGTGATTTTCTGGAGAAAAAAAATCTCAATTTGTCTGTCATAGTTGACGTGTACCTATGATGAAAATTACAGGCCTCTCTCATCTTTTTAAGTGGGAGAACTTGCACAATTGGTGGCTGACTAAATACTTTTTTTCCCCACTGTAATATAACATTTGAAATGTCTTTATTCTTTTGGAACTTTTGTGAATGTAATGTTTACTGTTAATTTTTATTGTTTATTTCACTTTTGTTTATTATCTATTTCACTTGCTTTGGCAATGTAAACATGTTTCCCATGCCAATAAAGCCCTTAAATTGAATTGAATTGAAAGAGAGAGAGAGAGAGCGAAAGAGAGAGAGAGAGAGGTGGGAGAGAGAGAGAGGGGGGGGGTAGAGAGAGAGAGGGAGAGGAGGGTGAAGAGAGAGAGAGAGAGCGAGAGAGAGAGAGAGAGAGAGAGAGAGAGAGAGAAAAAGAGAGAGAGGGGGGGGGGAGAGGGGGAAGAGAGAGAGAAATATAAAATAGAGTGATAAAGACAGATAAGGAGATAAGGAGATAAGGAGATAAAGGGATAACGGGATAGAGGTGCCAATGTTTCCCCTCCAATCTGCTGCTACACAACCAGTGCAGCTGTAGTCTTATAATACAAGAATAAAGATAAGACACAAGAATAGTAAAGAAAACATTAAAAACAGAGTGAAGACAATGAGGAAAAAGATTTAGAGAACCACATAGTTATCTGAGGGAGGTGTCCTTGATGCCTTCAATGACGTTGTATTAAAATGCAATGTTATTTTTCATTCATATAGGCATATTGCATGTTTTTAGCATGTTGCATGTTGATTCTGTGTAGTATCTAGTATGTTCTCTTTGATCACATGACTTTGCAGGCCTCTCCGTTGACTGACATTGGAGTGGGCGACTTGCTCTGCTTGCCTCCAAGCATCCCCATGTTGAAGCTGAGGCCTTGGAAGGCGCTCAGCAGGCTGTAGCCATCGTCCTTGGTCGGGGTCTCAGGACGAATCAGTTTAGTCAGCTGACGGGGGAGGGCCACTTTCTCTCTAACCGCACTCAGGTGGCTGGTGTCCTTGGAGCTCTAGGGGTTGGGAAGAGGGTTGGGAAGAGGTTGGGAAGAGGGTTGGGAAGAGAGTTGGGAAGACAGGGGTTGGGTGACGAGGAAAAATAAGAAAATACAGTTTAAATATGGTCTTGCCATTTTTAACTTCAGTCTCAAAGCACCGAAGTAAGAAACATTGTCAGTATCAGAACTGTGATGATGTCAGACAGATAAATTGTGAAGAAGCACTGCTTTAAGGGTTATGGGTATGGGGCTAGGGGCTAGAGGCTAGGGGCTAGAGGCTAGGGGCTAGGAGATAGTGGTTTAATTTGGTCTGATAATGCAACACACTAACCTTGGAGAGCTGGTACTTCTTCCTGAAGTGATCCCTCATGGCAGCTCTCTCTGCATGCTTCTGAGCGTTCAGGGCTTCCCTCAGCTTCCTGGAATCAACACAACAATGACACATCATATGTAACACATAGATAGACACACACACAAACATAAATACATCCCTGCTCTCAACCCCATCACAACCAACCGCCCTGCTCTCAACCCCATCACAACCAACCGCCCTGCTCTCAACCCCATCACAACCAACTCCCCTGCTCTCAACCCCATCACAACCAACCCCCCTGCTCTCAACCCCATCACAACCAACCCCCTGCTCTCAAACCCATCACAACCAACCGCCCTGCTCTCAACAACCCCCCTGCTCTCAACCCATCACAACCAAACCGCCCTGCTCTCAACCCCATCACACCAACCCCCCTGCTCTCAACCCCAATCACAACCAACCCCCTGCTCTCAACCCCATCACAACCAACCCCCCTGCTCTCAAACCCATCACAACCAACCCCCAATCTGTCTGTTACCAAAGCTAGTTTTCATCCATAATCGCCTCATGGTCTTGTTTCTAATCTCCACATTGACCACAGTGGTCATGTTCTAGTTAAGTTTGCAGTCACTCACCTCTCCTTCTCCAGGTCAGTTTGGTAGGAGCGTATGACAGGGGTGTGTCCCATCCGTGGAGGGGTGCTCTTTACTCCTCCTGTCCCCCTCTTGGCCCTGCGCCTGGCCCACACCTCTCTCTCCTTCACCCCTGTCACACAGCTGGACAGCTTCTTCATGGGCACTGCCAGAGACTGCTTCACCATAGTATCCATGTCTCAGGGTGTGTGTGTGTGTGTGTGTGTGTGTGTGTGTGTGGTGTGTGTGTGTGTGTGTGTGTGTGTGTGTGTGTGTGTGTGTGTGTGGTGTGTGTGTGTGTGTGTGTGTGTGTGTGTGTGTGTGTGTGTGTGTGTGTGTGTGTGTGTGTGTGTTACTTCACACTCAGAAGCATCAAAGAGTGTCCTTTTTCATTCATGTTCTGTAGGACATATGTTTGTGTCTGTGCGTATCTCCACCGTCTTCCTCCTTGAGGTTGGCTGGCTTGGACACACTCACTAAAGTACAGACAGCCAGTGTATTCATAGACGATGACTCAGGGGCTCAGTACCTGCAAGGACAAGGACATAAGTCAGTTAGAGCTTACACACACCCAGACAGCAGGTGAAGCGATTCAGAGAGACACACACACAACAAGCCCAGTCCAGTGCTTCCTTACCCAGACATCCACAGTAGGCCCCAGCCTCAAACACCCATAAAGTCCTTAGAGCTTCAGCCAGAGCCCATATACTGTACCTAACCATGTCCCATAGTCCAGTTCCACAAAGCCTTGAGGTCAACTGAAGGCAATGAGAAGAGCAACCCCACAGACAAAGTTCTTCCTGCTCTCCTTTCCTGCTCTCCTCTCCTGCTCTCCTCCACTCTTTGTGCGGTGTGTTCTCTTGCCCTCTCAGGTACAAATGACAGCTTTCCTCCCCGAGGATCTACTACTCAACTCATTCCCCCCTCATCCTCTATACCCCTCCCTCTTTACTATTACCCACCCCCCCCCACCCCACCCCTTGAGATTACCTCCTTACGGACTTAACGAGGGGGAATCTTGTTAGCAGCATCAGGGAGTGCACCCTGTGTATGAAGAAGACTTAGAGACACATTAGCTGATGTCATGTTGGGTTAGACACACTCTCTAGTGAGTGTCTGCTTGTGTGACAAAGAGAAAGGATGGCAGGGTGTTATTACCTTGCAAAAGTTCCAACAAGTTACCATCCCTTGCGCCTTCTAAGTAGACGATGCCTTAAGCACAGTTCTGGGATCTGTTTATGCAATCCCAATACCCAATCTCCAACCATTAGAAGGCAGAAAGACAACGTGATCTTCGATCAGGTTTAACCAGCTGTGATCAGGATGACGGGGGAGGTTTGAGACAGGCCAGACGGATGGAAGGGCTTTGAGTTCAGTAGATAATGGAGATGGATGGATGGGAATAGAGAGACAGATGGAGAGAGAGAACCAGACAAGAGAAAGATAGATGGGGTGAGGGAAAGTCAATCAGTCAGTATGAGACAGCAGTCTGTGTTAAGAGCAGAAGACAACAGCTGAGTAGTTACTACATACTGATCTGCAGACCATCCAGCAAAAGGGGCTGGAACGAGGAAAAAGGACAATGTCTTCTCATATTCCAGATTCTGTTCTAGTTTCATACAGCACCGCTTCAACCATTATGGATCTTCAACAGGCTTGGAAACGTAACAGTGTGCACTCTGCAGGCATTTCCCCAATTATTTTCCTCTGTAAACCACCTGAGACTGACATTGCAAGTCATTCCAGGTATTCAGATACAGCAGATAGAGAGAGCAGGTGATGGAAAGGGAGGGCTGGAGGGATGGAGGGATGGAGGTATGGGAGGGATGGAGGGATGGGAGGGATGGAGGTATGGGAGGGATGGAGGGATGGAGGGATGGGGGGATTGGAGGGATGAGGGATGGAGGGATGGAGGGATGGGAGGGATGGAGGTATGGAGGGATGGAGGTATGGAGGGATGGAGCGATGGAGGGATGGGAGGGATGGAGGGATAGGGGTATGGGAGGGATGGAGGTATGGAGGGATGGAGGGATGGGAGGGATGGAGGTATGGAGGGATGGAGGGATGGAGGGATGGAGGGATGGAGGAATGGGATGGATGGAGGGATGGAGGGATGGAGGGATGGAGGAATGGGATGGATGGAGGGATGGGAGGGATGGAGGTATGGAGGGATGGATGGATGGAGGGATGGAGGTATGGGAGGGATGGAGGTATGGGAGGGATGGAGGTATGGGAGGGATGGAGGGATGGAGGGTTGGAGGTATGGGAGGGATGGAGGAGGGATGGAGGTATGGGAGGGATGGAGGGATGGATGGAGGGATGGAGGTATGGGAGGGATGGGGGTATGGGAGGGATGAGGGATGGAGGGATGGAGGGATGGGGGTATGGGAGGGATGGGGGTATGGGAGGCATGGGGGTATGGAGGTAGAGAGCAGTGAAAGAAGAGATGTGACCTCTGTTTATCTCAGGTCTGTTGTGAGACGGACAGAAAGAGCAGCTGTCAGGACACAGAGTCTTGTTTACTAGCCGTGTGGCTAGTGCCAGGCACGCTAGGATATATGACACGAATGCACACGTGTGTGTGTGTGTGCGTGTAAGTTTGTGTGTGTGTGTGTCTATAGTGTTACACAAACTAAAAGCACAAACAAAGGAGACATAAAGCTCTGACAGAACCCTGAGAGGGGCATCAGGTGGTCAGCTGTTCCATTTAGCTTGGTGTCCATTCACCCTCTCCTGCTGCATCAGGAATTGCTACAGGTATCTTAATTTGACCAGTTTCTCACAGCAGGAACATGATCCTGCAGCAACAGGAAATGTGAATTACTGTGTGGATTATAATTAACAGACATTTTTGTAGGGGTTAATACATTGTTCATTAGGGCAAATCAAACCTGACATTTTAAAGTGGGAATTACAAACTTTAGAAGCCATTTTAAACCTTGAATACACCACAAGTTTGCATTTCCTGCTGCGCAGTGATCAAATTAAGATAGCAGATCTGTACAGTTCAAGCTCAGCCAGAACATATTTGGCAGGACATGAGGGATGGAGGGAGAGAGTGTGTGTGTAGGGCCCTCAAGGTTCGCCATCTCCAAAAGTAAATCCAACCTCCCCCTCTCCCCTCTCCCCTCTCCCGTCTCTCTCCCCCCTCTTCACCTCCAACCCCCTCGGCCTTGGTTTGTGACAGATGAGGACACCATTAATGCCTTAACAAGATGGAGAAGAGAGCCCACAGCCCCTCTGTCACAGATCCTTATGCACAGATTTAGGAACAGCTCTTCTATAATTATAACCATTAGGGGGAGAAATTCGAAACTGATGACATCCTAGTGCCACAGAGGGCGAGATTGACATTTACATTTACATTTACATCATTTAGCAGATGCTCTTATCCAGAGCGACTTACAAATTGGTGCATTCAACTTATGATAGCCAGTGGGACAAGCCAGTGGGCAACTTTAACACCTTTAACTCAGTTAACTGTACCACAGTTACTGGGACTGGGACACTACTGTGTCTTTAGAGGGATGTAATATTTAGAAACTACTGTGAGAGGAATGGTAGTAACATGGGGGAAAGCCATAACATGGGGGGAAAGCCATTACATGGGGGAAAGCCATTACATGGGGGAAAGCCATAACATGGGGGAAAGCCATAACATGGGGGAAAGCCATAACATGGGGGAAAGCCATGACATGGGGGAAAGCCATTACATGGGAGAAAGCCATTACATGGGGGAAAGCCATTACATGGGGGAAAGCCATTACATGGGAGAAAGCCATTACATGGGGGAAAGCCATAACATGGGGGAAAGCCATTACATGGGGAGAAAGCCATTACATGGGGGAAAGCCATTACATGGGAGAAAGCCATTACATGGGGGAAAGCCATTACATGGGGGAAAGCCATTACATGGGGGAAAGCCATTACATGGGGGAAAGCCATTACATGGGGAAAGCCATTACATGGGGGAAAGCCATTACATGGGGGAAAGCCATTACATGGGGGAAAGCTATTACATGGGGGGAAGCCATAACATGGGGGAAAGCCATTACATGGGGGAAAGCCATTACATGGGGTAAATAAAGACAAGAGACAACAGAGAAATCAAGAGGAGAGAAACAGAGACAGCATACATACAGAAAATACATTGACAAAAAACATCAAGCGAACATAAGGAGGCGGGGACCGGGGGGGCAAGACAGAGTACAGGGACAATACATGGGGTTAAAACACATGGGACAGCAAAACATTAAGGAGTTCAGTAGGGCAGGAGTGATAGTGAGTCAATTTATGGCCAGGAGGAAGGTGAAGGGTTAGCAGGGTGTAAAGTGTGTATGTCAGTGGAGGCTGCTGAGGGGAGGACGGCTCATAAAAACGTCTGGAATCGAGCAAATGGAATGGCATCAAACACATGGAAACCACATTTTTAATGTATTTGATACCATTCCCCCTATTCCGCTCCAGCCATTACCACGAGCCCGTCCTCCCCGATTAAGGTGCCACCAACCTCCTGTGGTGTCTGTGTGCCGGAGCTTCCAGGAGCACTGCTGTCTGAGCTTCTTAAGGGATTCCACTGTGGATCAGTGTCCAGCATGTGAAGGGCGGCCAGCCTGACCAGAACACAAACACACACACAGTCTTTTTCTGTTTCTCCCTCTCTCTCTCTGATACACACACCCAGGTCAGGGATGTATTAAGGTCATTCCTTTAAGACCAGTACAATAACAGGGCTGTCTAATGTCAGTGTGTGTGAGTTACCATGACTCAGTCTGAGACTGGTCTCACTGCCTCATTGGTCTCACTGACAAGACACACAGAGACATGGGAAACCTACATGTGCTTCCCCTGTGAGCTTCACACACTCAAACACATGAGAATAAAGAAGACTGTCCAAAACATGCAACTAATAGTCGGTCACACACACACGCTGACTCACACACACTTCCTCCTTCAGTGTCTCTTTCTACACTCAGATATAGCCCGGTGAGGTCTCACTCAACTTTAATGTTAGCCTGATTCACACACATTAACACCCTACATTGACTTTCAGACTGAGCTTACGTTCAACACTGCCAAGAAAAGGGAAAACAACACACACATTCGGGTCACCGCAACAGCCCTACAAGTAACTCACACTATGCTGGAAGTAGGGTATAATTCAGACAGACACCAACACACTGATTTAAAGCCACCT